CAAGAGAGGTGTCCTGCAGGTGGGATTTGATGTGCATTGGCTGCACATGCTCGGTGAAGTTTGGAATATTGGGAGTTCAACAGCAAAACCCTTCAGGATGTGTTCACCCAAAGCTCGGTGCTGTGACCGGAGGGGAGCAGGAAGATTTCCGGAGAGCAAACAGGGCGGCAGAGCAGCTTACGAGGATTTTCCATCCAGCTGGGACACGAGTGGGTGACAGCACCCTGCCATCGGAGTTCCCATCGGGATGGCACTGCCGGGGCCCAGAGCAGCTCCTCAGCTGCGGGATCAGCACCTCTGGGAGGCACTTGGAGCTGCTGGAGCAGCCTGTGAGGCCGGCCCGGGATCCCCGGCGTGTGACAGGGCTGTGGCAGAGCCACGCGGGCTCTGTGTGCCGAGCCCTGGCCCCCGCTGGCCACAAAGCGGCTTTTGTGAGCCCTCCCCGGCGGCCGAAGGAGAGAGGAGCCGCGGAGCTCGGAGCCGGGGACAGGCGCTCCCAGGAGCGCGCTGTGGCCGCGGGGCTCGGGCTGGGGTCCCCGGGACGCTGCCCTGCTTCTCCTCCCCCAGCGGCCGGGCCGGGGAGGGGAGGGACAGCGAGGGCAGCCCGGGGCCGCGTCTGGGCTGCGTTGTCGCCGCCGGGACCCCGCGCTGCTCCGGGAGCTCCCGCAGCCGCCCGGGCACACGCAGGATGCGCCACTAACGAGCTCCGCTGCCATGCCCCAGCCAAAAACGGGAGGCTGGAGCCAGCAGGGCTAACCCAGCCTCCTCCTACCAAAATACTCCAATAGTTCCCAGCTATTGCGGCGCTTGAAAGAATTTCTGTATCATTTTAAATTCCAGGAAAGGTATCTCCCAGGGGAACGGCCGCGGCAGCTGCCCGCTCTTTCCTCTCATTGCACAGGGCCACCTCCCCACCCAGGGCCACCTCCCTGCTCTTTCCTTTCTTGGAGTGGTGGCTGCTGCTCCTTCCAACAATGTCCCCGTTACGATAAATCCTTTCATGTCTCCGTTTCTCCCTGGAATTGCAGGACAGTTTTTTTTTTTTTTTTTTTTTTTTTTTTTCCCTTTCCCTTTTTTTTTTTTTTTTTTTTTTTTGCCCTCTGGGTATTGTTTACTTGACAAAACATCAA